GATTGATAAACATGCTGAAACAATAAAAACATTCAACATTTAAAACATTAAAAAATTCCGATTCCGATTATTCCTCTGGCAAGTGCAGCTCTTCATTAAGATCATGACTGACTGTGAGTGTACAGGCGATCGCCTCGTTCAGATAATGTTGCACAATTAAAATGAGAAATGACACACATAAATAAACTGTTTTAAAGATTGACGTTTATTGTTCAAATAAGTTTAATTTCGTGTCTAAACTGCGTCTGGCCATTACTTTCTGACAGTCACGCGGGGAGACTGGGCGGGGATTTAAATTACGTTCACCTGTGAATGCAGACACGATGGCTGGATTGTGTTTACATTACACTGAGATCCGATCACAATGCCTCCTCGACTACCTCCGAACCGGGACACGCTGATCGGATAACATTCCGATCAGATGTGCGTTTACACTTGTCTTTTCAATGTGTATGTGGACAACATCCAGATACAGGTCGCATGTTAATGCCAAGTGTAAACGCAGCCTATGACAGGGGTCCTCAACTCTGGCCGTGAGATCCACTTTCCTGCAGAGTTTACCTACAACCCTAATCAAACTCACCTGAACAAGCTAATCAATGTCTTCATGATTACTAGTCTACACCTTAAGAAAAGAGAAACCCAACTACAACTGACTTCAGCCAGAGTTTCATCAGTAGATGAAATCAACTGAAGACATTAAATCTCTGAAGATCTCAGCAGAGGAGGATTAAACAACTCCACAAACAGCATTACCAGCTTCACTTATTACTAACCAGACTGACTTTATTTATGTCAGACTTCTACAGAAGTTTTATTGAGAATTAACAGAGGTTTAACTCTTTCATTTGAAGTCACTATAACAGTGATTAGTGTTTCCATTAGTTGGGCTCTTAACTCTTAATGTATCTTTGTCTTTATTTGGCCGTTGTGACAGTGTATTTAGTAAAACACATTTGCAGCAGCAAATAAAGCTAAAGCAAAGTGAGATCAGGTTATAATGGTTACCTGTTGATGGTTTAATAATCATCATGAAATAATTTGATTCACTGAGGTATTTGCTATTTTTTTTAAAACACTGTTCGATGTTTATGAGTCCACACTCAGGGACTGTTAAAGGAACACTGAAGCAGTGCTAAAGTTAATGAGATATTTAAGTGATAATTGAACATTATCGAAGACACCTGATGTTAACATCAGAATCACTGAAGGAGAAAATAGTAATTGGTATGTTACCATTATGGAGATCAGTGTTTGCTTTAGTTGGGCTCTTGACCCTTAAGTCATTAACTTTAGATTTTGTTTGGCTGTTGTACCTGAGTTATAACTGCCAGATGAACAAAGAGAAAAGGTGATATGATGGTGTTGGTTGTGTTTTAACATAATCAGTAGTTGGCCTGAATCACTGAACTCATTGAGGGCATAATTTCAGAGTTAAGTTTTGTAGCTTATGGATTATAGCAGCACTGTTGTTGTAGAGTATGCATTTTCTAGTCTTTTCTATCAAATCCAAATGATCAAATCAATTACAAAAAAAAAAAAACCTTAAAAAGTTTCTAAGGTAGGCACATACAGACATCAAGAATTAGCGTATGAATCTCAACAATGGTGACAAAAAGATGACCTCTGAACATAAGTTCATTATTTATTCATACAGCAATGCATGATGGGAGCCATGAATGAGATTTGATTGGCGGCATCCAGAATACACTGCAAAATGCTTTATAATTGTCACCATTGTTGAGATTCACAGGCTGATTATTGATGTCTAAAAAAAAGTTTTGAATGTGATTAAGTTTATAAGAAATTGTTTGGATTACATTGTGAAAGTTACAAATATTATTATTGTCAAGGACAGTGCTGCTATAATCAATAAAGTAAATTTAACTCAGAAATTGGGCTCTACTTAGGTAAAATGATTGAGAAATAATGATAATGTTAAAACACAGCGAACACCATCAAAAAACCTTTTCTCTTTGTTCAGCTGGCTCTTGTAACTCAGGTACAGCAGCCAAACAAAAATCTGAAGTTAATGACTTAAGGGTCAAGAGCCCAACTAAAGCAAACACTGATCTCCATAATAGTAACATACCAATTACGATTTTCTCCCTCAGTGGTTCTGCTTGTTAATATCAGGTGTATTCGATAATGCTCAATTATCCCTCAATTAATCATCTCATTAACGTCAGTGTTCATTTAACAGTCCCTCAGTGTGGACTCATAAACATTGAACAGTGTTTTAAAAAAAAATAGCAAATACCTCAGTGAAACAAATTATTTCATGAAGATTATTAAACCATCAACAGGTAACCATTATAACCTGATCTCACTTCACTTTAGCTTTATTTGCTGCTGCAAATGTGTTTTACTAAACACACTGTCACAACAGCCAAAAAAAGACAAAGATATATTAAGAGTTAAGAGCCCAACTAATGGGAACACTAATCACTGTTAAGGTGACTTCAAATGAAAGAGTTAAACCTCTGTTAATTCTCAATAAAACCTTCTGTAGAAGTCTGACAGAAATAAAGTCAGTCTGGTTAGTAATAAGTTAAGCTGGTAATGCTGTTTGTGGAGTTGTTTAATCCTCCTCTGCTGAGATCTTCAGAGATTTAATGTCTTCAGTTGATTTCATCTAAGACTCTGGCTGAAGTCAGTTGTAGTTGGGTTTCTCTTTTCTTTAGTCATTCTGCTTGCTAACAGCAGGTTTTCATCATTAATGCTCAATCATCCCTTAATTAATCAGTTAATTATCTCATTAACTTTACCACTTTTAACACTCTTTAGATTGGGACAATATGTACTCTGAGCAGTGTTGATTTAACACTGGGGATTTTGCTGTGTTCCTGTTAGGTGTAGTAATCATGAAGAGATTGATTAGCTTGGTCAGGTGAGTTTGATTAGGGTTGTAGGTAAACTCTGCAGGAAAGTGGATCTCGCGGGCCAGAGTTGAGGACCCCTGGTCTATGTAATTTACTTTTCCTAATTGAATATTCTGCTCGTCACCATTGTTGAGATGCATTGACTGAATCTTGACGTCTGTGTGTGCCTCAGAGAATAAAAAAAAAAAAAAAACTTTTAAGAAATCCTTTATATTATATCTAAAATTCTGGATATTTATGCAAAATCACAGATATGCTGTAACCAACAGCATAAATCACAATCATACAGTTCAAATGATGAATGTCATAATATAACCAACACCATTAAATACTTTTTTTCTTTGTCCATCTGGCAGTAATAACTCAGATACAACAGACAAACTAAATTTAAAGTTAATAATCTAAGGGTCAAGAGCCCAACTAAAGCAAACAATGATCGCCATAACGGTGGCTTACAATTTGAGATTTTCTCCTTCAGTGATTCTGCTTTAGGTGTCTTCAATTATGCTCAATCATCACTCAATTAATCACTTAAATATCTCATTAACTTTAACACTCTTGAGTGTGGACTCATATACACTCCCAGGAGTGTTAATATAACACTGGAGTTTTTGCTGTGTACAAAGAGCCGTAGTTAACTGACAAGCTGAGCCATATCGCATCAATTATCGCTGGCGATATGTCTGCGATATTAATGCGATATGGCTCAGCTTGTCAGTTAACTACGGCTCTTTGTAGTAAATGCCGCTCCATCTGAAAGCAGGTGAAGGTGATTTACTACTAATCAAGGAACGATGCGCATAACAATGTCATGCGATATATCGCCCAGCCCTAGTCCCACTCTACAAAATGTTGAAGTAACACTGAATCATAGTTAAAGTTAATGAGATAATGAAGTGATTAATAAATTCATGATTGAGCATTAGTGATGAACACCTGCTGTTAACAAGCAGAATCAAGGAAATAGAAACACAAGAACTACAACTGACTTCAACCACAGCCTTATATGAAATCAACTGTAAATAAAAGCAGACATTAAATCTCTCAAGATTTCAGCAGAGGAGGGTTAAATAACATTATCAGCTTCACTTATTACTAACCAGATTGACTTTATTTCTTTCAGATGTCTACAGAAGTTATATGTAACGAGTTAGCTCCAATGGAAAATATTAATAATAATTATTTATTTATAATGATTAATTAATAATAATACATAATCATAACTTGGTATGATTAATTATGAATATTTGGGTCAGTTAATTGGATAAACTTGATGTAGCTAAATTAATATTACAATCATTAATCAGTTCGTCCAACGAACTCTTTTGATAATTAATTTATTCTAAGGGGGTTAACTTAGTCATCAATATGATGTAATTGATTAGTTAATGTACTACTCATTTGTCCTGCATTAATTCCCGTAGAGTTACTGATTTTGTTTGAATTGAAAATATAAGATTCTGCATCTGTGCAATCTATATGTAACATGGTTCATCAGACAATTTAAGCATCTTCAGGTAATTAAACCTCTCCTGACTTTTAAAAACAGTTGGGTTTACATACAAGTATGGCTCAGTGATTATTGTCTTTGTTAACACAGGCACATCTAAAAGCTCTGGCAAAACAAAGAGCTTGCAAATGAGGATTACAGACTCTTCTGAATGAGTTTTTTTTTTCAGGAAGCTGCTAATAGATTGGTGTGTTTGGCTGAGAGGAGAATGAAGGCCCTGGAGGTACAGTATCTGACGCTGCACTGAAAACTGCTTTTGTACTCATAGCCCTGAAGCCCTTTCAGGGGCTTATCAGAATCTCAAAAACTAAAGTTTACACAAAATGTGGGCTGAAATTTAATATGAGCTGGCTTAATTTTGTTTGTTTTTCTGTACTTTGACGTAGTATTCAAAGAGCTCCTAGCCTTTAAAAAGACGACTGATGCTTGTTCATATAAAGTGGTGACAGCTGATGTTTGTGACATTTTCGGAGAATTCAATAATTTGTTCACATTGGCAAGGAAAGGTAAAGTTTATCAGTTTCTTAAAATTTTTCTTAAAGATACATACAGTATGCATATAAGAGACGTTTGAATATAATACTTTTTTGTTGTTTGTTTGTAGGTTCTGAAATGGTTCTTCGACACAGGATCACTTTGTTGCTCCTCATCTCTTCATGTCTGATTGGTAATCTAATTCTATTGTAATTTTGACATTATGTGGTTGGTTAAACATTTTACAATTCTTCGATGTGTTGAGGATTCTCAAATGATTTATATAGACTTCTGCAATACCTTTTAAATTTAAAGTAAAGTTTCTAACATGTTTATCTGGTCTAACAGTCTTGACAGATTCATGTAACAATCGATGTCTGGCAAATATAATAATTGCTAAGAAATTGAAGAGCGCACCACAGGGTAATGATTGTTCTGTCAATGTAACCATCACTTCAATGAAGTATGAGACAATGTCTTTTGTAAGTAGCAGATTGTTTTTATTGTTTTATCATTCTAATTTCTGTCTTTTTTTCAAGCTCGAAAAATAATATAACACAAATGCCGCTGTTAATATATGTATATACAGTATATATTGTAACACTTTATTTCAATGGTTTATACTTTAGACATTCTACTAACTATAACTTTGCAAATAAATGTCAACTTATTTTACAAACCTGAATACTAACAGCTAATAACCTAACAGTATACTAATACTCTAATGAGAGTTAGTTGACATGTAGTTGCAAAAATATTTATAGTTAGTACAATGTCTAAAGTGGACCATCGAAATAAAGTGTAACCAATATATTCTATAGACTCAAATGCTTTAAGAATTACTCGCTTTTTTCCATACTACAAAAAAGTTGATTTGACTTATTTTTATTATTATACAATTAAAATAAATTCGAAGTAAATCTTACTATTCATTTTTTTCAATGTAATAATTTTTACATGTTTAAAATGTATAACCTTGTCAGTTGTCACCATGTTTAGGATACAAAAAACATGCAAATGAGCAGCCGTGTCAAGGTGAACATGGTAAGTATATATACATTTTTGATGTTCACTTTCAAAAGAAAAGAAGAAAAAAACGTTTGTATCTCCTCTAAAAACTCATGAAGCAGCAATAGAAGTATATTTGGTTACACTTTATTTCGATGATCCATTAGACAGTCTCCTAACTAAGGCCCTGTTTACACCTGAACTTAACCCAGCTAACAGACTTTTGTTATAAGGATGTTTTCCAAATATTCAGTGTTGGTTCTGGGAACGTAAAAAAATTCCAGTTTTCTTGATGTTGGATGAACGTGTTTTAAAAGGTATAATGTTCCTCAAACGCTTTTTCAACTTAATTTCGATTTAAAAATTCAACATTCTAGGAACGTTGATTTCTAACATTCCAAGAACATAAAAATGTCCAGTTTCCTGTATGTTTCTGGAATGTTATTTAAAGTATGCAATTTATTATTTAGTATGGAATTATGTTCCTGAAACATTCTTTCAATCATTCAAACACCGGCTGTGAACAAGCACTGAAAGAGAGAGATATAAGAACACAAATTACAACTTTCTTCAGCCACAGCCTTCGATAAATTGAAGATAAAATACAATAAGATCTGATAAAACAACTCCACAAACAGCATTACCAGCTTCACTTATTACTAATGAAATGGTTTGTTTGAGGTCACCATCATGGAGATCAGTGTTTGCTTTAGTTGGGCTCTTGACCCTTATCTTTAATTGTCTTGGTGCTTTATGAGCAATTGGAGGTGTTTGTGGAGAATATTTCTGCATTGATAAAGCAGATCAACATGTCTGTTTTAATAGCAGACAAAGGACTGCAATTAAACAACTGCTTTTACTGTAGTTTTCTTACTGTAGTTTTGCTCACTTTTGGAATTTTATTTGAGAAGAAAGTAAAAAACTCAATTAATGTGATCAAAGTCTTTTGTAACACTGAAGAAAGTTGTAGTTTGTGTTCTTATTTCTATTTCTCTCAGTGCTTGTTCACAGCCGGTGTTTGAATGATTGGAAGAATGTTTCAGAAACATTATACTAACCTTTAAATAACATTGGACATTTTTATGTTCTTGGAATGTTAGAAATCGAATCGGTTACCTAACGTAACCTCGGTTCTCTCTAGATGAGGGAACGAGTATTGCGTAAGCTAGCTTACGCTATGGGAAAGAGTCATCTTTTCTGAGAAATTGAAGCCAAAAAATTATCCTATAATTTTGTATCCATTGTCAACGCAGTTCAGCTGCAGCAGACCATGAGCGGGCTAGCTAGCAGCTCATTGGTTCGCTCACAGAGAACTGCTTAAGCCTATGAGGAGACGCGAATGAACTCTCAGCCAATGAGAGTCTGACATGCTCTCATTGCGTCAGAGCCCGCCGAAACGGGCGTGGTCAGAGAGTATAATATTGGCGTCCTAGGCTGTAAACTCTGGTTTTCATAGAATGAAGCGAGAACGCTAGTAGCACAAGCACGGCCAGGAACGCAATACTCGTTCCCTCATCTAGAGAGAACCGAGGTTACGTTAGGTAACCGATTCATTCTCTAACGAGAGGTTCTCTCGTATTGCGTAAGCTAGCTTACGCTACGGGAACACCTGGTCAACGCCGTGCGTGCTAAGCATCCACTATGAGTCCCAGGGGAGACCCCAGGGAACCCTTATGAGTGGGAATAAATATATGTACATGTGACAAAGGCCAGCAGAGCGGGCCGGAGATTGTGTAGTACATAAGCAGATGATAGAGAGGGACAGAGCGAAACCGGTCTGTGTGAATAACTCCCTATAGTGCAGCTCAACCAGAAGAGCTGTAACATACTAGACAGCTAGTAGTTTAGCCTGCAAGGCGGGAACTTCCAGATTGTAAAATCTGACAAAGGTGGAGGGGGAAGCCCATCCCGCTGCCACACAAATGTCATGAATGGAAATTCCGCTGGACCATGCCCACGATGAGGCCATGCCTCTAGTGGAATGAGCCCTGATGCCCAGAGGGCATGGCAGGTCTTTTGATGCGTATGCGGCTGCAATGGCATCAATTATCCACCTGGATAGAGTCTGTTTCGAGGCGGCCAACCTTTTGGTGCGCCCACCGAACGAAACAAAAAACTGCTCGGATCGTCTGACCGGAGCAGTGCGAGTAATGTATAATCTCAGGGCCCTGACCGGACACAGGAGATTAGAGTCAGATTCGCTATCGGATGCAGGCAGAGCCGATAGGGAAATAACTTGTGCCCTGAACGGGGTACCAATCGCTTTTGGGACATAACCATGTCTAGGTTTGAGAACGACTAAGGAGTCATTGGGCCCAAACTCGAGACAGGAAGTGCTAATGGACAGCGCATGAAGGTCTCCCACACGTTTTACTGACGCGAGCGCGAGCAGAAAAACGGTTTTGAGCGAAAGTTATTTGAGGTCCATGGTGTTTAGCGGTTCGAATGGGGGGGCTTTTCATTTCCCAAATCGGCACCGAAGGGGGGCGTGGGGGGTTCATCCTTCTAGCTCCCCTGAGGAAGCGGATGACCAAGCCATCTTTGCCCAGTGACTGGCCGTGCCGGGGTTCAACGAACGCTGCGACGGCTGCCACATACACCTTGAGAGTGGACGGGGACCTGCCCTTGTCCAACATCTCTTGGAGAAAAACTAGCAAGGAAGGAACCTCGCATGACCGTGGGTCCAAATTTCTGTCGGTGCACCATTTTGAGAACACAGACCATTTAGACGCATAGAGCCTTCTAGTAGAAGCCGCTCTAGCCTGCATGATCGTGTTTAACACTCCCTCTGGCAAAGCAACGGGTAGTTGTTGATCACCCACGCATGTAGCGCCCAGCGCTCTGGGTGGGGATGCCAGATCGTGCCGCGAGCTTGGGAGAGGAGATCTGCTCTGACTGGAATGGTCCAAGGGGCTGTCTGAGACAGCTGAGTGAGCTTCGGAAACCAAGTCTGACCCTCCCAACGCGGGGCTATGAGGAGCACCGAGTGGCGTGTTTCCCTGATTCTCTGAAGCACCTGTGGTAGCAGAGAAACCGGAGGGAATGCATAAAGCGGGCGTCTGGGCCAGGTCTGGGCTAGCGCGTCCTCGCTCTTTAAGAAAAATATTGGGCAGTGGGTGTTCTCTTCGGAGGCGAAGAGGTCCGCCTCTGCTCTGCCGAATATTCGCCACAGCTTTTGGACTGTAAGAGTGTGCAGGGACCATTCCCCGGGGGGAATGAGGTTCCTGGACAGACTGTCTGGACCGTCGTTCAGATGGCCCGGCACGTGCGTCGCTCTGAGCAAGAGCAGGTGACACTGAGACCAAACTAAGATGCGTTCTGTCAGCCGGAAGAGATTCCTGGATCTGACTCCGCCCTGACGGCTTAGATAGGAGACCACGGCTATATTGTCCGAACGGATCAGCACGTGGTGACCGTGAATGCGTGGAAGAAAGCGCGTGAGCGCGTTCTCGACCGCCAACATCTCCAAACAGTTGATGTGGAGGAGGCTCTCTTGAGCTGACCAGGGGCCGAAGGCCGGTGAGCCCTCGCAGACCGCACCCCAACCCATGTTGGATGCGTCTGTCGAGATGACTTTTCGGCGAGAAAGGGTCCCCATGGAAACGCCCTGCTGAAACCATTTTGCCAAAGTCCATGGCTGCAGAGCTGTGATACAGGTCTGCGTTACTTTTATCAGCTGGCGGCCCGTGGTCCACGCACGGTGAGACACACGGCTCTTCAACCAGAGCTGAAGCGGGCGCGTGCGCAGTAACCCCAGCTGGAGCACCGCGGAGGCTGAGGCCATGTAACCCAACGCCTTCTGAAAAGTAGTCCGAGTCTAGCTCTATACCCAAGAAGGAGATAGTCTGACTGGGTTGTAGTGCGCTCTTTGTCCAGTTGACAGAGAGGCCCAAAGCTTTCAGATGGTCGAGGAGAACTGTACGATGAGACAGTAGCTCTCTCTGTGATTGTGCCAGAATCAGGCAGTCGTCCAAATAGTTCAGTATTCGCAGCCCCTGACTCCGCAGGGGGGCGAGCGCCGCATCCATGCACTTCGGGTGCTAGGGATAGGCCGAACGGGAGGACGGTGTATTGATAAACCTGGCCTTCGAAGGCGAAACGTAAGAATGGCCTGTGAAGGGGATTTATCTGAATCTGAAAGTAAGCATCTTTCAGATCTAGTGAAATGAACCAGTCCCCCTGGCGCACATGCGCGAGGAGTTTTCTGATAGTGAGCATTTTGAACGGTCTCTTCATGAGAACTTTGTTCAGAAATCTGAGGTCTAAGATTGGTCTGAGGCCGCCGTCTTTCTTGGGAATCAGAAAATAACGGCCGTAAAACCCCGACTCGCTCATAGACAGAGGAACTCTCTCTATAGCCCTTTTGCACAATAGCTTTGCTATCTCTGAACGGAGCAGCGTCACTGCGTCTGGGTTCACAATAGTTTCTAGCCGCGCTCGAAAACGTGGAGGGCGGCGGTGAAACTGTAAGCGATAGCCTAGTCTTATCGTGTTAAGCACCCACTGGGAAATTCCCGGAATAGCTTCCCACGCTTTGAAGCGTAACGCTAGGGGGTGAATGGCTACATGGTCCCCGTTGCTGCACATAGCGGGCTGCGCGAGCGCGCTCAAAGTGTTTATAACAGCGGGACTTACACTCGGAGAGGAGTTTATGGGCCGTGTAACAGAGTGAGCAGAGGTGGGACACGCACACGGGCTCATGGGCGCGTTTATGCACTCTGAAACTCGAGCAGGTTGGAACCGCTTTATGAGAGTGGACTCTGTGTGAGACACGGGAACTGAAGTGCTTTTGTGTATGAGTGAACACAGTGTTGTGGGCACATTTTCTACACAGGAGGCTTTTATGCTCTTTATGAGATTTCTCTGGGTCGCCGTGAAAACGGCGTTTGCGCTCATGCAAGCGGGAAGGGAGACCGGCTTGGTAATGGCGGAGTACACTGCTGTAGTAGCCGCGTGAGCGGGGACTAACAGAGGGCGAAACATTAATGGCGGTCCGGCCGCGGCCGGAGAGCGCCGTCTTTTTCTCAGCTGTGCTAGGCATACTTCGAGTGATCAGGTTTCAGCGCGATCCTAGGCCGAGGCCCCCGAGGAGGCGGCGGTCTGTGGCGGCTGTCAGAGCGAGAACGAGGGTGGCCGCCCTGGCGTCGCTGAGAAGTCTGACTGTGCTGAGCTGGGCGCTGGGGTGGGGCTCTTGCAGGAGGCTGGTCACGTGAGTGGCCTGCAGAGGAGCTAGCGCGACGAGGCAGAAAGAGATTCATGGCCTGGGAGGCTTTCTGCACTTCGGAAAATCGGTCGACGATACCCGTGACAGCAGATCCGAAGAGGCCGGACGGAGAGAGCGGGGCGTTGAGAAAGGCGGCGCGCTCAGAATCTCCCATGTCGGCGAGTGTGAGCCACAAATGTCTCTCAGACACACAAATGGCGGCCATGCATTTCCCCAGGGCTTGAGCAGCAGATTTTGTAGCGCGAAGGGCAATGTCCGTGGCGCTCCTCAAATCCGCGACTGGAGGGGGATTTTTTCCGCTCTCGTCCCATTCACGAAGTAAGTCACCCTGTAGTATCTGAAGGACGGACATGGAGTGAAGTGCAGAGGCTGCTTGGCCGGCGGCTGAATAAGCGCGGGCGTGAAAGCTTGAAGTCGCTCTGCAGGCTTTAGAGGGAAGCACAGGTGATGAGCGTCATCTCGCGGAGGGCGGGCATAGATGTGCGGCGACCAGGTCCTCTACAGGGGGAATGGAGAGATAGCCCTTCTCTGCGGCTCCGTCCACAACGCGAAGCGGGGTGGAAGAGTCAGATTGAGTTCTAGCAGAGAGCGGGGCGTTCCAGGACTTCGTGAGTTCCGCGTGCAGTTCAGGCAGGAAGGGCGTGGCCCGTTTGGTGGCGGGAGTCGAGCGCTGGCGGAAGTAGCTGCCATCCATACGGTTGATGGTCTGCTCGGGGGGAGGGGACCAATCGAGCCCGAGGCGTTCGACGGCCTGTGAGAGGAGGCGCACTAATTCCTCCTCGATTCCAGCGCGGGTCCCGGTGGATTCTCGGGCCGAGGAGGCGTGAGAACCGGACCATTCCTCACTGTCTGAGGCGAGAAGCGAACATGTCTCCTTGATGTCCGCGGCGTCATCGAAGGCGACAGAGCGGCCACTCGGCGGCAACTGCATGTCCGGAAGCGGCAGAGAAGGAGAGCGGGAGGCGACAGGCTCGGGCGGGATGAACGCTTCTGGCTGGGGTTCCGGCGGCCTCTGAGAGCGGCGTTTCTTCTTCCGCGGCGAAGTCAGAGGCGGCGCGGAAGCAGTGGCCTGAAGTCGAGCCCGCAGGGTCGACAACGGCATGTCTTCACAGAGATCGCAGCCGCCATCGGCGAGGGCGAGCTCGGCGTGCTCCAATCCGAGGCAGAGAGCGCAGATGACGTGGCGGTCTCCATCCTCGAGGGGAGCGCGGCAAGAACCGCAGGAAGATTTACGAGACATCTTGAAAAAGACGCTCGGCTCTTTTAGATACAAAATGTACAGGAAGCTTTTTGTAAAAAGGATACAAATCCGTCGGATGGCGCTAGCTCGCAGGACGGCTGAAGGTGGCGAAGACGGCTGGCTTCCTCAGTCTCCCAGATGCTCGCTAGAGTTGCCTTTTCGACGACGGCGGCTTCTCTCATGATCAGCAGATGCGTGTAGCCTCGCTGAAGAGATGAAACTGAACTGCGTTGACAATGGATACAAAATTATAGGATAATTTTTTGGCTTCAATTTCTCAGAAAAGATGAATCTTTCCCGTAGCGTAAGCTAGCTTACGCAATACGAGAGAACCTCTCGTAAGAGAACAACGTTCCTAGGATGTTGAATTTTAAATCAAAATTAAGTTGAAAGAACGTTTGAGGAACATTATACCTTTTAAAACACGTTCCCCTAAAGTCAACTGGACATTTTTTATGTTCTCAGAACCAACACTGAATATTTGGAGATCGTTCTTATAACAAAAGTCTGTTTGCTGGGTTAAGTTATTTTATATATATAGCCACTCTGGAGAAAACCATGTCATCGTCCAGCTCAGTTCAGTTCTCATATGATGGTGCCAATGTAGACAGAATATTTTTGTTGAATATTACATTAAATGTAGAATGTAGAAGTAGAATGTTTGTCGGGAGAATCAAAATAAAGAGTTAGCAGATATTAAGCAGAGAGTCTACTAATCCACCTAGACTATAGTTACTTAGTAGTTAGAAGAATGTCTAAAGTGGACAATCGAAATAAAGTGTTACCATTTATTTTTTCTCCGTAGGTGTGGAGGGATCTTGAACTACAGTGGAATGCAACAACATCTAATGCTTCAGCCGTTATGTTACCAGTTGACAAAATCTGGACTCCTGCGTTGGTTTTGGACAATGCGTAAGTGACCTCAGAACAGTTTTTTTTTTTTTTTTTGCATGGCATGGCATGGCATGTATTTTTTCGTTTAGTATATGCAAACACAGCCTGTCCAGTAGGGTAAGATGACCCTCCACTTTAATTTTTACTCTTGACAACAGACGGCACAAAATCTCATCTCAACTCTTTTGATGAATGGCTACGATATTTTTAATTTTGTAATCTGAATATCAACATTTGTGAGAACATTTGTAGCCAGTCGAAACAGTTTTGGGGTTAATTGATCTAATTTTGTTTCTCTGGAAAATAGTGATCTGTGACATTGTTTTATGTTGAATATCAAAGTTTTTTTTCTAAATGAGGGATTTGTAGACACATTCATTAACCTATAGGCTCATTGAGTAAAATCATTTGATTTTAAGTGTTGCTCTTATGACACATATAAGTCATAAAATAGCCAAGTCAAGTCACCTTTATTTATATAGCGCTCTTTACAATACAAACAATAAAATAAAACTAAAATAAATCTAACGTTCAGATTAATCTCTTTTATTGAATCTCTTTTAAGTTGTTGACTCTTACTGTATATAAATAATAATAATGACACTTCATATATATATATATATATATATATATATATATATATATATTATTCATAAGAATGATATCAAAAGTCAATGAAATACCTAGGGTGAAAAAAACAAAACATTTTTTTTATTTTATTTTTTTATTAACCCTCTGGGGTCTGAGGTGTTTTCGGGGTCCTTGAGATGTTTTGGCATGCTCTGACATTTGTGCTTTTTTCAGTTGCTTATAAACATATTAATGGCACAGGTGAAATTACACTCTATATAGCACACACAGGGCTACCATAATATGTGAGCAACATGTATGTACATGTTTGTATTTTTGAGAGAATATTGTTTATGCGTGGTTATTGAAAAAACAAAAAACTAAAAAATAAAGTTTATAATATAAGGCCACAAATAACATACTAAATATTTGTCCACAAGACTTTTGACTAGTGGATGTTATCGCCTAGAGTTTTTGCTTCAAATTGATCTGAAAATCATTCTGCCTTATCATTCACATAAAACAATAGATTGTTTTAAATTGTGAAAAACATTTTTTTGTTTGCAAAGGCAATATGCGGATGGGCGGAACGGCCCAACCCCCTCATGAATAATTAGGCAGTTCTCACCTGAGCAGACTGCATACTAATGAGCCTTTCATTCAGGGGTGTCACACAAGAAAGAATGCAAGGACAATATATATACACTACCGTTATATATACACTACCGTTAGATATATTCTGTTAAAGGTTCCTTTAATGAAGACAGAGTTTGGAAAAACTGCTTTTATTTATAGTGCATCAGCTGCTTGGAATGAGATCCAAAGTTCATTGAAACTTGATAAACTTATTTCAGTACATGTGTTCAAGTTACATTTAAACAAATTATTCAAATCTGTCTGCACTTGCTCTTAACGTTTAATCTTGTTTTATTTTTATATATGTGTGTGTTGTGAAATCTGTTTTATGTAGTTATGTATATTGTGTGCTGCTATTTTGGCCAGGGCTCACTTGTAAATGAGATATTTATCTCAATGTGTTTATTTCCCTGGTTAAATAAAGGTTTAACCCCCTGGGGTCGGCTATCGCGCCGGCGCGATTGTCTCGCTTTTTTTCTTATCAGTGTAAAAGAGACTCAAAATACTCTGTTAATTTTGATCTTACATATAAGTGTTGTACATCATTAGATCCTGTTAAGTTTCTATTTTTTTTGTGGATACTCACAATAAAAACAAAGTGTTGTGCTTTTCACCAAATAAAGAAAAACAAACATGATGCGAGTTCTGCGTTCTCTCTGTCAGTGAAGTCCATTCTGAAACGCGTCCTAAGATTAACTGTAACTCCGCGATTACTTGTCACACAGGCACGAGAGGTTTTTCTTTATGAAGCTTAAATTCTCTTCTTTTAAATGAAGTAATTTATATAAAAAACAAATATTCTCAGTTTATGCAATCTGTATGAAAAGAGAGTGCTGTCAGTATTTTTTCCCCCAGCTCATTACACTTCATTACGCGTTAATCTGACACGCCCACGGAGGACGCGCGCTATTCAAACGCAAATGTGAGGCAAGCCATGACAACGCCCACATCAGCTGTTCCACCGCGGCGGTAAAATGTGTGGTGTATTTGCTGCCTTTTACCACTAGGAGGCGCTACAATCATAGACTCTGAAAAGTGTTCGTTTATTCCGGTTTATTCTCTCTAATGCGTAATCTGCTGCCGCACCGCGCTGATTCAGAGCGATTGAAAGCTGGTAGCAGAAGAATTCAACAAGTGAAACGTAGTTAAAATAATTAATAATCACAATACTGAAATTAGGCTACTGAAATGTAATTGAATAAATAATGAAAACATTTCAACATAAAACATTGCAATAAAAACATTTAGGCTACATGAATGAGGCTTTACGACTTTAACAGCGTACAGAAGACAGCTCAGTGATCAATTCAAAGACACGAGCTTCGAGGAGCTTCTTTCGACCCGAGATCGAATCTCAATGCATAGGCCTACATGTTGTTAACCGATGTTGTCCTACGTTTATATTTTCCCACCTTGATGCTTAAATGGGTAACTGTTTATATCTGTTTACTTATTTAAAGTCAAGAGTTTTGTTTGATTATCATTACAACATAAATTTGCTACATTCCTGTAGAACCGCAGCCGCTGCACAAACGACAAAAACTGATGAAGGAAGATTGTCAGCCGATCAGAAAATGAAAATGAAGAAGCTCGTCTTTAGTCTGCTAAATTATTGTGTAATGTAAAAGAACACTAAAATTACTTAAGTTTGAAACCAAGTTCGAACATTTCAAGGTTTAAATTGTTTAATTTAAAACAGGGTTGCATCTTGTTTAGAGTTTATTTCTTTTGCGATGCAAAATAAGAAACACTAGGCTAATCTTATTCTTGCGACATTTTAAATTTGTATTGCCAAAGAAATTACAGCTAAATTAAACAATTAAAACAGTAGGCCTACAAAACGAAAATTGTCCAAAGAAACATAATTAAATTAAAAACATGCGTTTCTCTTTGCCTCTCTCGCGCTGGATCTCTTTTTAACAAGTTTATTTAGTCTCCCTCGCTGCGCGCGCGGGTCTCTCTCTCGAAATTAATCATTTCAGGGTAAAAACACATCATACAGCTGATAATACTGTATATGTCGCTGCGTGTCAGCCATACAAATCACGAAAAAATGATTTAACCTTTAATTGTTGCTTCAAAGACACAGCATGCCTTGTTGAATTCACCTTACAATAACTTCAATTGAAATTTTGTGTGAAAAAAACTTTAAATAGGCTACAATAAATAAACTACAATATTTATAATTTAATAAGATATGGGGCCTACATTTGGACACAGATTTATCCTTACAATAATTTTGCCTGCTCATCAGGCTGGCTATCCGACACTCTCCATATGAAAGAGGAACATTAACACCTTTGTCCAGCAACTGTCCCTCCAACCCCCCACAGGCTATCGGAGTCTGAGGCTGACTTAACACAAAGAGAAGTCGCAATTCACACTTAAATCGCCATTCTAGACAGTGTTGATAATGAAGGAATTAAATGATTTAAGTTACATGTAGCCTAGTGATATTTCTGTCATAAAAGTTTATTACTAAATATTTCATTATTTCAATAATTGATGAAATAAAACTGGTTTGGGGCAGCTTTTTCCAAGCAAAACTAAATATAATCTGAAAAAACGCTTGTTAATTTGTTGTCATGAACAAAATGTTCAACTTAATATTAAAGTCTACAGGGATCTTTGGATCCTTACAACCAGGCATGCAATTTGTGAATTAAGTTTTTATTTTATTTTGTATTATTCAAATAAATATCGAAACACGGTGCTTCGTGGTAATGCTGCTATTTATAGAATAATTATGAACTTAAATGAAACAATATCGCAACATTTCGACAAATACATTATTATGTTTTTACATTTTAATTCAGGGCGATTTAGCCTACATTTAATTAGAGCGAGATTTTCACCCATGTCTTGTCATTTTCTCATTGGGAAGCGCATGTTTGAGTAGATCCTCTGTACCTCTCGTTTTCATATGGATTAGCCTACATAATCAGATAACATTTATTAGCCTAAATATTTAGACATTTAAAGGCTTTAGACATAGCCGATTTCTTATCGTGACTGAGCTGAAGTGGCTTTCGGTTCATTTTTGTGACGCGCAGTTCCCGGAGACAGAGTTTACAGTTTTGAACGATGTAAGCTACTCTACTCTTATCTGTATGACCAAAAAATTACGGAGTCGCCTATTAAGTTATTTTAGCTGTAATAATGAGATAAATAAATTAATCTAAATGAACGCTCCGCCGCGTTTGTCGAACACTAACTCACGATGCCAGAATAAAACCCGACTTTAGAAAAATGCATCGGGTCACTCGGCGTGGTGTGCCAAAACACTTAATTATAAACTTCAATATTTCATTCAAAATAATCTCAACACGCTTTGTGAAATTTTGAAAAGCCGTGCATGCATTAAGGCCACTGGAACTAATGAACAACTGAAACGCTGGTTTTGATTTTATTGTTTTTCGTTTAAACGTGCCTGTTGCATATCTCTATTTTATATTTGATATTGGTGAAGTAGCCTATAGCATTGATTAGCTGTGGAGGGAGGGGTGTGGGGATTAAAATAATTCAGCAGAAGTAGGGATGTTTAGACCAGAAGGAAATCCCAGTCCCCCCTGGCAAATCACACTTTACTTAAAACCATGTTTTTAAAAACTCTAGGTTGTAGGGAACAGACCTCTCTGCCATGCGCGCGCACGGTTTGGAGCACAATATCTGTCTCGCATGCACGCTCGCTCTAAATAGATTACGGGATATTTTAACTAATTTGCGGTATAACTAGTCGATCACGAGTGGCTCAACAGGTAGATCTATAGATAAACTATATCTTTCAGGAATTTGACCGACCGGGTTGACACTTCAGCGTGAGAAATCGGGGGTGTGGCGTGAGAGCCTGGAATAAATAAATAAAAAATATATATAGCCTATATAAAACAAAACTGTATGGTGTAACAGAGTTTTAGAGCTAGACAAATCTCTCTGCAATAATAAATATAAAATATACAGCAGACCATGTTTGTGCGGGATTTGAACCTGTGTCATCTTGATGATGAACCATAAGTTCTACCTCTCGGCTATGAATTTTGTTACTGAGAAATAACCAAACGTTTGATTCTCACATGAGCGAGAAAACGTTTTTACTTTAGCCTGTGAGTGTAGGCCTACTTTAGCCTTTTACAGTTTTAAAAGATTATATCTTATCTGTATGACCAACAATTTGTTGTAGGCTTATTTGGAAATTACCATAACTTGTAGTATTTCATCCTTAGGCTACTGTTAATAGACATTAGCCCCACTTACGTTTTGCTAAATGTCCCTTTGCGCCACCTGGCGGTCATTTCGCGTACGACTTTGAAATGCGACTGGTTTATTTTTACCGCGGTGGATGGCTAAAAATGGTATGTGGATGGCTAAAAGGTGTGACTAAAAATGTGCTTTTGGCTTTCATTTATATTTTGATTGTTTGTATATATATATATATATATATATATATATATATATATACTAATGAGCCTTTCATTCAGGGGTGTCACACAAGAAAGAATGCAAGGACAATATATATATATAAATAAATAAATATTTATACACACACACACACACACACACACACACACACACACACATATATATATATATATATATGTGTGTGTGTGTGTGTGTGTGTGTGTGTTTGTGTATATAAATATTTATTTATTTATATATATATATTGTCCTTGCATTCTTTCTTGTGTGACACCCCTGAATGAAAGGCTCATTAGTATGCAGTCTGCTCAGGTGAGAACTGCCTAATTATTCATGAGGGGGTTGGGCCGATCCGCCCATCCGCATATTGCCTTTGCAAACAAAAAAATGTTTTTCACAATTTAAAACAATCTATTGTGTTATGTGAATGATTAGACAGAATGATTTTCAGATCATTTTGAAGAAAAAACTCTAGGCCACAACATCCATTAGTCAAAAGTCTTGTGGACAGATATTTAGTATGTGTTTTGTGGCCTTATTTCAGAAACTTTAAGTTTTAGTTTTTTCAATAACCACGCATAAACAATATTCTCTCAAAAATACAAAAATGTACATACATGTTGATAACACATTATGGTAGCCCTGTGTGTGCTAAATAGAGTGTAATTACACCTTTGCCAGTAATATGTTTATAAGCAACTGAAAAAAGCACAAATGTCAGAGTATGTCAAAACATCTCAAGGACCCCAAAAACACCTTGGACCCCAGAGGGTTAATCACGATTCTAGTGACTTCAAATGAAACATTCAATGAAACATCAAACCTCTGTTAATTCTCAATAAGAGCTTGTCTATGTAGATTCATGATGTCTAAAACATCCACATGTTCAAACAAACTCTTTATTAAACATCACTGGACTACATAAACACAAGTTAACAATACGTGTCAGTGTTCATCCAAACACTCAGTTGTAAAAACACAGGAAGTAACTCTGGCAAATACACACCGACTACAGTCACATGTGACACATATCTGACACAAGTTGTGTAACTATAACACATTAGTGTGTAAAAGGTTTTAACACACTTCTGTTTAAGAGGAATAACACATTAGTTGTGTGTTAAAGGTAACACAAAATGTGTAGTCCTTATAAACCCAGAGATGTGTTAAGAAACGACACAGGTTGTGTGTTAAATTTGACACAACATGTGTTGTCCCTGAGCACACACACTACATGTGTTAAAATCTACACAACATGTGTTAAAATCTACATAACATGTGTTGTCCCTGAGCACACACACTACATGTGTTAAAATCTACACAACATGTGTTAAAATCTACACAACATGTCCCTGAGCACACACACTACATGTGTTAAAATCTACACAACATGTGTTGTCCCTGAGCACACACACTACATGTGTTAAAATCTACACAACATGTGTCATCTTTAACATCTCTTTTTACAGGTTGTGTTGTTTTCAACACATCATTGTATAAGAGCGTGTCGACACTCACCATCACTGTGAATAGTATGCAGTGTTTGCTATGTTTATCAAACAAACAGGCCTGTGCAAATAAAAGTTATTTATATAACATTTTTTGTCAGTTGCTACATTTTAATCTAATTCAAAGTGCAAACTCGGTTAACTGTTATCTCTTCATATTAGGGGTTGAAGCGTGAATAATGTACAGTACAGTGAGTCTGTCCAGTCATTGAGCTTCACACATTGTCTTGTACTTTGTGTGCACATGCATTCTGTACTCGACTATTGATTAAATGATTAATATTTTTACATCTGCCCCTTTCGCTTTATTATTTAAAATGACACAATTTGTGTGTTAAAATGACTTACACATTTATTGTGTTAAATTTGACACAACATGTGTAGTCCCTGAGCACACTCACTACATGTGTTAAAACTGACACAACAAATGTCATTTTTAACGCATCTCTTTTTAGAGTGCAGGTTTTGTTACAATATGTATACTCAAAGATGATGAAGAGTCAGACAGGTTCCAAATACTAAATTATTTAATGATAAAATAAACTCAGAATAATCCAGTATGTACAACAGTGTGCTCTAGAAACAAACAACAACCGACCAAGAACTGAGGAAACAAAGGAACTAAAGTATACACTGATAACAAACTCAAGTACCAACAGCTGTGATGATTAAATTAATATCCATGATAACAAAAAAGTGGTGGAAAAACATGAACAAGGACAAAAGGAAATATTGATAAGCATTTCTAAAAGTCCATTAGAACGAAAACTTAACTGACAGTTTGTGACAGGTTTACACAGTTCAACATAATGAATAGACACCCTCACAGACTTGTTGATGTGTCATTGTGTCTTTAAACAGATTTGTTTGTTCTGGGTTTTTTTTATGTGAAACTAGCTGTACATATTTATACTAGAACATTTTCAGATGAAGAGATTCAAAAGTTCATAAATTCACAATTCTGAAATTCAAAATTCAAACATTCAAATAATATATAGATCTCCCATTGTGAGGGAGAAAAGGACAGTTAAAAAAAAAAAAAATCTAAATTGCATACTAATTTTGTTCCAGACAAATTTAGATGCTTGTTTTATGTGGAAAAAAAAAATTAACAATATTTCTTCATTATTATTTTAATTACATATTTAGATATACCCCATGGCAACTGAGATTGCTTGATGTAAAAGTAATTGTAGTTCAATTGCTGGGTGAGTGAAGGAGACTTCATACTGGCTATATATTTGTAAATGTCTCTATAATTTCCTGGTCAAATTCTAAACCACTTAAAATTAAAACAACAGCAGAAGAAAAATATTATCAATGTTACACTTTACAATAAGGTTTCACTAGTTAACAACTTTAGTTAACATGTACTAAGAATGAACAATACTTCTACAGCATTTATTTATCTTAGTTAAATGTTCATTTCAACATTTGCTAATACACTATTTGCCACAACCCAGTTGCAAAAACAATGACAAAGTGGGTCTAAATACAGCAGCATTCGTTTTATTTACATGAACTCAAGAATTAGAAACAGAGATTAACCAGGTAACACAGAACGAGAACTAACAAAGAATTTAACAAAACGCAGGTCTTAGGCCCCGTTTACACGAGAACGATTCCAGGGGAAAACGTACAAATATTTTAGCGGATGTGCCTTTCGTTTACACGGCAACGGCGTTTTGGGGGCTAAAAAACGCAAAAAAAGTGCAACCACCCTCCAGAGTGGAAATCTTAAAAACGCTCCACCGTCGCGTTCCCGTCTAAACTGTAAAAACGCAAATCTGCTCACGGTGGCTCTCGTCGCGTACGCGTTTACATCACAGGCATGCGCTAGTACAGGAAAATAACAACCAACATGTCAGATTATTTCCATACGTCGGACCTTCAAGTTGCCCTAGCAGCTCTGAAAAACATACAAGAGTCTTTTTAGCAGTTGTACAAAATATTCTAAGATATTGGTGTTGTTGTGTGGCAGTGCTTCACATTGCCACCTAGCCGCCTGGAGTGCATACTACATCGAATTTCACACACTTTTGTGTCACCATATGCACGCGGATTTCCCAACCATAACGCTCGTCTAAACGCAGATTAAAAAGTGATAATTAACGCAATGCCACTTTTGCGTTTTCTCTTCAGATCGTTTCCGTGTAAACATAGCCTTAAATAGACAAACACAAAATGATTAAAGAAACGAACAGCAGGTGGGCAAATTAAATCAAACAATGAGTAACAAGGAAACTAACTGAAAACTAGGTCACAGAACAAAAACACGTGACACATTCACCCAAAACCAAAACAAATACAGATAAACCCTAACATTATTAAAGTGAATCACTTTATTATCTCATTAACTTTAACACGGTTTCAGAGTTACTTTAACTTTCTGTTGAGAGGGACCAAATGTTCTCTGAGCAGAGTTAATTTAACTCTGGGGATTTTGCTGTGTACAGATGAACCAAAGCTAAAAATGACAACAGACTCATGTCATAATTGGTTCCCAGCTTGGGTGAAAGTCATATTCTCTCTCTTTATGAATTCAGGATAGATGTAACCGTGAAGCCTTACACTGATGATGTACAGGTGAGCCAGGAAGGAACCGTGGACTATGCCGTTATCTTGTTCATATCTGTGAGCTGTAATGATATCAACCTCTTCAACTACCCGTTTGTGAGTGGAGAATGTTCTGTGGCCATCAACGGATGGAACCAAAGCAGTAAGATAACATTTTTAAGAGAACAGAAATTGATAATTTGTTGTTAACCAGGGACATTCTTCCAGAGTAAATGATTTATAAGGACAACATGTAAAAGATATCTGAATAAGTCCTAAACAGCTAAACATTCTTTTGCTTGTGTTGATCTACAGAATGTGAGATTAACCTCAACCATCCATCTAACATATCTAATGTTGGAGGCATTCAAGGAGAGTGGGAGACTGTGAATGTGATAATAAAACAAGACCAGACGTTTCAAAACAGTAGATATCTCTCGGTAACTACTGACTTCATTCTGATTCTTGCTTTTACCCCCAGTTTCACAGACAAGGCTTAAACTATAGTCCCAGACTAAAATGTATGTTTAAGCTGTTTTAATTGAAAGAAACTTGCACTGGCATATCTTAAAATATGTCAGTGTGATTTTTTTCTCAAGATGCACACCAGTAATGTTTTATTCTAAGGCACGTTTAAAAAAGCTACTACTAATTTAACGCCTAATCCTGGCTTAATCTAAACCCTGACTGTATTACCTTAAAGGGATAGTTCACCCAAAAATGAAAATTCTGAATTCTGAATGAAAATGCATCACACACATGACCAGCGTCGGCCAATAGTGAGCCTACGTCAAGTCACCTTTATTTATATAGCGCTTTTTACAATACAGATTGTTTCAAAGCAGCTTTACAGAGATAACAGGAAAATAATGTTGTAATAGTATTGTTAAATACAAAATTAAATGTCCCCAACTAAGCAAGCCAAAAGCCAATGGCGACAAAGGCGAAGAAAGGCGAAAAGACAACAGTGGCAAGGAACCAAAACTCCACCAGTGACAGAATGGAGAAAAAAACCTTGGGAGAACCCAGGCTCAGTCAGGGGGCCAGTCCTCCTTTGGCCAATGAACCAACAGTGTATGATTATGATTCAGGCAGCATTATAGGTCAGAAGTCAGATTGGATCCGAGCTTTCACCATATTTATCCAGTTCCATCTGGTTGGGGGTCCGAGTCATCACACCGGTATGGAGACGAGTTTGTTGAGGTGTCCATGAGGCCTTCACAGTGTTGATGAGGCTGGCACTTCAGGGATGCGTTGTCGTCGTGTCCATGCGATGATCCTTCATCAGATCTGGATACGGCCTGGATCCGGCGGACTGTGGTAAACCTCGGGATAAACAGAGAGACTAATATTAGCGTAGACGCCATCCTTCTTATGATGTAGCAAGTACATCAGGATTTATGGGAATTGTTCCCAGTTCCGACTGATCTAAACTATGCAGCCTAACATTGAATTATAGAAGTCTATGTGTTATGTGTATGCTAAGCCAAAGAGATGTGATTTTAGTCTAGATTTGAACTGAGTTGACAGACTGTGTCTGCTTCCCGGACAATGGTAGGAAGACTGTTCCAAAGTTTTGGTGCTAAATAGGAAAAGGATCTACCGCTAGCAGTTGATTTTGATATTCTAGGTATTATCAACTGGCCAGAATTTTGAGATCACAATAGACGTGAAGGAGTATAATGCGTTAAGAGCTCGCTCAAGTACAGGGGAGCTAAACCATTTAGTGCTTTGTAAGTAATCAGCAATATTTTAAAATGTATACAATGTTTAATAGGGAGCCAATGCAGTGTTGACAGAACCGGGCTAATATGGTCATACTTCAAGGTAGGGCTGGGTGATATATCGCATCACATTGTTATGCGCATCTCTTCAGTAAAGCCGGTTCCTTGATTAGTAGTAAATCACCTTCACCTGCTTTCAGATGGAAGATATGACGCAGATATGAGTGTTAAATTAACACTCAAGAGTGTTAAAGTTAATGAGATGATTAAGTGATTAATTTAGTGATGATTGAGCATTATTGAAGACACCTGATGTTTACAAGCAGAATCACTGAAGGAGAAAATCACAAATTGTAAGCCACCGTTATGGCGATCAGTGTTTGCTTAAGTTGGACTCTTGACCCTTATACTTTCACTTAAATTTTGTTTGCTGTTATTGATTTATAACATCAAATGAACAAAGAAAAGTGTGATCTGATAGTGTTGGTTATGTTTTGGCATAATCATGCTTTGACCTGAAAAATGAAACTTAATGAGATGATTTGGTTTAACTTGTTAGCAACAGCTTTGTGATTCTACAGCATATGATAATCAGTATTTTTTTCTTATAATCCAAAATATTTTCTAAAAATTGTTCTGATCAAAACACTTCCAAATTGAATTTGTTAAGAAACACAGGCATCAATAATCAGCCTGTGAATCTCAACAATGGTGACAATAATAATGCATGTTGCAGTGGCTGCCACCAATCACAACTCATTAATGGCTCCCATCATGCATTGCGGTATGAATATATTATGATCTGAATATTCTGCTCGTCACCATTGTTGAGATGCATTGACTGAATCTTGAGGTCTGTGTGTGCCTAAAAGAAGTTTTTTTTTTTTTTTTTTTTAAAGAACTCCTTTATATTATATCTAAAATTCTGGATATTTATGCAGAATCACAGTTATGCTGTAACCAACAGCATAAATCACATACATAAAGTTCAAATGATTATTGTCATAATACATCCAACACCATTAGATACTTTTGTTCTTTGTTCATCTGGCAGTTATAACTCAGATACAACTGCCAAACAAAATCTAAAGTTAATAATAATATAAGGGTCAAGAGCCCAACTAAAGCAAACAATGATCGCCATAAAGGTGGCTTGAAATTTTTTATTTTCTCCTTCAGTGATTCTGCTTTAGGTGTCTTCAATAATGCTCAATCATTACTCAATTAATCACTTAATTATCTCATTAACTTCAACACTCTTGAGTGTGGACTCATACACTCCCAGGAGTGTTAATTTAACACTGGAGTTTTTGCTGTGTACAAAGAGCCGTAGTTAACTGACAAGCTGAGCCATATCGCATCAATTATCGCTGGCGATACGTCCGCTATATTAATGCGATATGGCTCAGCTTGTCAGTGAACTACGGCTCTTTGTAGTAAATGCTGCTCCATCTGAAAGCAGGTGAAGGCGATTTACTACTAATCAAGGAACCGGTTTTATTGATGAGATGCGCATAGCAATGTGATGCGATATATCGCCCAGCCCTACTTCAAGGTTCTGGTAAGAACTATAGCGGCTGCATTTTGAACTAGCTGTAGTTTATGTATTAAACGTGCAGGGCAACCACTCAGTAGAGCATTACAATAATCTAGCTTTGATGTCATGAACGCATGAACCAATTGTTCTGCATTTTTCATTGAGAGCATATGATGTAATTTAGATATATTTTTAAGATGAAAAAATGCAGTTTTACAGATGCTAGACACGTGACTTTCAAATGAAAGATTGGTATCAAAGAGCACACCCAGGTTCCTAACCGACGACGAAGACTTGACAGAGCAGCCATCAAGTGTTAGACAGTATTCTAGGTTATTACGTGAGGAAGTTTTTTGTCCAATAATTAGAATCTCTGTTTTTTCAGAAGGAAAATTGCTAGTCATCCAGTTTTTTATATATGCATTCCGTTAATTTTGTGAATTCGTCCCCTTGGAATTATAAGGTTCTATCTGACATTTTTGTCAAAATTGAGTTATTCACATATTCTTATTCTGTGACAACTTATTTACATTATGTGATGTGTTTTTTTAAATTGTGTACATTGTGGGACTTTTTATTGAAAAAACAAAAAGGTTCTATCTACAAAATCAAACTCTAACTTGGCTCTATAAGGTTCTATCTGCGTGAGCCAATCAGCACTTGGAATGCACAGAAGAGGACCAATCAGAATCAACTTTATATGTCATGTCGCCAACTTTTCCTTGAAGACAAAAAGAAACCCCATAAAGGCAAAATGCTATACATTTACAGTAAATTAAATATTCACTAAATTGTGTAGTGTTATGAAGTGGCTTCAATTTGGCCATTTTCTTTATAGTGTATTGGTTATTATTATTAATTATCAATGAGGTTATTATTAATAACTATTATTATTATAGTTATTATTATCTGAATTATACAAATATGCAGTGAGTAAATTGAATATTTAAAAAAAAACATTTAACATGCAAGAGTGTGTGTGTGCGCGAGTGTGTGAAAATGTGTGTGTGTGCGAGTGTGTGTGCGTGTGTGTGTGTGTGTGTGTGTGTGTGTGTGTGTGTGTGTGTGTGTGAAAGTGTGTGACTGTGTGTGTGTGAGTGAGAGAGAGTGTGTGTGTGTGTGATTAAAAAATTAGTCTGATATTTTTTGTGATCATATAGTCAGTGAATCATTTTTCAATGATTATTAAACTTTATGAATTAATTTGCTGAAGCATGTCGATTTTCTTGTAGTTTTTAAAGTCTTAAAATGTCTTCATTTTTACAATTTTAAGCCTTAAAGGTCAAATAGTTAACAATTTCATTGATAGGGTCTTAATTACAACAATAAACGTTAGCATGTTATTTCAGCCATACTGATGTATAGAGAGAAAGCCATTTCACCTGGCCCACTTTAGCTGGAATAAAGTCCTGCTCAGATGTATTACAGTAGCTGCTTTCTGTCTAAACAAAAGAAAGATTAAAGTAACAATTTCTGCAATAATGTGTTTAATTACCTACCAAATTGGTAACGGAAATTAAGATTCTGCACTGGACAGAATATTTAGACCTACCTTGCTTAATTTGAAATGTCCTAAATACACGGAAGTGCTAAAAAATATGAAATAAATGTCATAGAAAGGATAAAATTTTACTTTCTAACACATGTTGAGACATTGTTACAACATTAATTTTATATTTAATGTTCAAATAATGTTTTGGCAGATAGAACCTTATAAGCGAAAAGTGTTTTTTTAGAATTAGAAGGTTCTATCTGCGTTTGACCCATTCCAAAAAAAACCATTTACAAATTTGAGAGGATTTTGATATTTTATATTTAGAATACATTTAGGGTCCCTGTTATTTTCATGTTTGAAAGAAACTTGTTCCCCATATAAAGTTTCCTATATGTAATGCAAAAACTTTGAAGCTCAATATCTCAAAACTGCTCAGAACGCAGATAGAACCTTATAATTCCAAGGGGACGAATTGGTAAGTTTCATCAGGGAGTGAAAAAATATAAAGCTGAGTATCATCAGCATAACAGTGAAAACTAATGCCATGCTTCCTAATGATATCTCCTAATGGTAGCATGTACAGAGTGAACAGCAACGATCCTAGTACTGAGCCTTGTGGTACACACCATACTGAACTTTTGATCGATAAGACATCTCTTCATTTACTGCTACAAACTGATAACG